GTCTGCACATGACTTAAATCTTTATTTGGTGTTGGGTGGGTAATTGTTTGCCCTTGAAACAAAGGTGCAATAGTTATAAATGTGCATGTTTTATAGTTAACACATGTAACTGGAGAAAGCCACCCTGACAAATCATCAGTGTTAATTAAAAAAGTCCACACTTCTGAGAGTTTATTTGATGCAAAGACTTTAACGCTTATTAACACTGGAAAATGTATTGCACATGTTTAAAACAGCTGGGGATTTTTCACCAGTGGTGGAAGAAATACTCAGATTGTTTACTTACGTAAAAGCAGCAATAGCACAGTGTAAAAATACTCTGTTACAAGTAAAGGTCCTGCATTCAAAATGGTAGTTAAGTAAAAGTACAAAAGTATTAGCATCAAAACGATACATTAATATACATATTATTTGATTACTGATGCCTTATTGTGTACATCACATTTAATGTTGCAGCCTGTACAGGTGAGGCTAATGTTAACTACCATATATACTTACTGTACAGTTTGAAGGACTTTATATACTACTGGGTAGCTTGTGCATTTCCCACCAGGGATCATACTGTATTTTGGTTAATTATCTCAGTCTGAAAAGTAACTAGTCACTAAAGTTATCAAATTAATCTAATGCGTAACAAGTAAAGTAGAGATACCTCAAAACTGTACTTATGTACAGTACTGAGTAACTGTACTTAGTTACTTTCCAACTATTTTCTGCACAGTGATGTTTCTTGGCTCAGTATTCACATTCAAAGCCCAGTATCAGACCATGTAACATGACTTCAGCTGGGCGCTCAGGAAGTTCATTTGTTTGAAAGTGACCCGCATTCTTCAAACAACAATGATCTCTGAGCCAGAAAAAAAAAAAGTGAATACTGCTAATAGCCTAGAGTACTTTGTCTGAAAGTTAAGAGGCCAACACACTCCAATTAGATGGGGGGGGATTTATCACTCTCCCATGCTCACATTCAAACACAGAGATAGATGGCAGGCATAATACGTTCTGTGGGGGAAAAAAGCAGAACGATTATTTGAACTTAAAGGAAGAGGAAAAAGAGGCAGAGTGACGGGTTGTGGGGGGAGGGGTCTCGGGAGCAGCCAGGGGCAGGAGATAGTCTGGGAAAGGTCTCGCGTTAAAGTGGAATTAACATGCCTTGCCGTTGGAGTCCATTAGATAATCATATTCATACCACACAAGTCTCCAAACCCTCTCTGTTCCATTATTCGCTTTTAATCCAGCCTGATAAGGGGGTGCAGGCGTGGTGGTTTTATTATGTCGTTATTTGGAATCCACATGAAATCCCACAGGATATTATCATGGGGAAACTGCTAAAATAATAGTGGAAGGGGATATAGTTTTGCTTTTATTATTTCTGACAGATTCAAAATAACTGCAAATATCCTTTTTGTGATGATTGGGGGCTGAGAGTCTTATCAGTCATTCACGCTAATGGCCCACTCAAGCCACCCGATCCATCTGGCAGCGGGGAGGAGGGATGTTCGGAGGAGGAAAGGGGAGTGGTGTGTTTAGTGTCCTGATTGTACAAGTGTGTACAGGTACTGTACGTTGGAGAAGAAAGAAAGAGGTGAGGAAAATCAAGCATTAAAAAGAGGGAAGAGGCAGAAGGAGACTATATAAACTCAGGTCCACAGCTCTAATACACTGCTGACACTGGAGCGGAGGTCACGATCCTTTTTGGTGGGTTTATCTGGCCCAAATTTCAGATCCCTGGCAAACAGGCCCAGTGTCAGGTGGCTGCAGTCATTTGTTGGTCCACATATCTGCCACCTGTAGCCCTAAAATTAAGACCTATAACAAAAGCTTTGACTGAATCTGTTAAAGTCTTTATTAAATAGCAACAGTGCTGACACAGAAAGGAAACACCAAGCCTTATATTTTATATCACAGCCTCTTGTCACTGTCCACCATGATCAGGTAGTGTTAAAGTAATTTGTTACAGCGTTCGTTATAACTGCCTTGGACCTCTTGAATATGACGTTTGTGGTATATTACAAAATGAGTTTTATACAATTTGCTAATTGTAGTTTACAGCACTTAAAATGTTTGGTTTCTTATTCTTCTACTCAATTACTTTTGTGTCATTTGTAGTTACTGTACAGATCATGATTTTATATAACAATATTATAATAAATACGTGGTACGGCAGATTGTTATTGGATGAACCCAACGGTGCAGTAGTAACAGTCAAAACGATCACAACAAAGTACTGCTTACAAACAACAATATTACAGCAATATATTCTATAACCTTCGGTACATTTTGTTGCTAATACTTGTGTAAAATTGACTTTATTATTGTTCTTTACATCCTAATGCTATTTTTACTTTATTAAGAGACATAAACACTTCTTCAGCCACTGTGTGTTGCTATCTGAAGATATAGCATCTCAAATATTTATCTATCTTAAAATATAGCTTCTCTACTGTGAAAAACCTAAGAGCCTCTGTCATTCCCCTGTTCATGCAGCCATTACATTTACAGCACTCACATCTATGTGGATATAATATGCTTATTCTGCCAGATCCATTTCACAGTGACATCTGTCCAGCGGCGAAGAAGTAAAAGCAAAAATCCAAATGCCTACACAACATTCTGCCAAGTATTGATTTACTGTTTCTTGTGTAACGTACAGTACAGCGTGTGGACACACAGTGCTACATATTATTTTAGTAAGAACAAGGCTGAAACTGGAAACATGCTCTGTTGTTTGGTAGTGATTTGAAAAATAGGCACAAGACACAGATGCTGATCTTGATCATGCAACATTTCTTTCATAAACTTGTTTCTGCTGTGAGGAATAATGACAACATGTGTGTGCATGCTTGAGATTGGCTATCGTGTATGTGTGTGTTTGTGAGCATGCTGGAGTGTCTACCTTAGCGAGTGCACCTCCCTGTCTGTAGATCTAAGGGTCTGGAACAAACAGTAGTTCCTTCTTAATTGGGGTGAGATCTGGTGCTTAAAGGGGGCCAAGAAGGGACCCGGACCCCTTTCTTTCTCCTCCAGAATCGCTTTGGCTACAGAGATGCTTTTGATGTGTGCTTTGGCTCTGCGAGTCCTACTTTGGAATATGTTCTTGGGAGACCATTGGTTACTTGCCTCCAGGCAGAATCTCAATCCCCAGGATCTTGGCCCTCTTTGATGAAATACTTTCGGGAGCCGCTAACCCTACTGATGCCTGTGTGCACCCCCCCACCCTCTTGTTCTCCTCCACCTCTTCCCTACCTACCCACCCTTTGTCCCCCTCCCCCACACCCACCTCCACGTTCATCGGATTCTCTTTGAGAGATTCATAACAAGGACTTTATCTCTGTGTAGTCCAGGCCAGATGAGCACCACCTGACAAACTGACAGGAGAATTAGTTGTGTCTTACAGAACTCCTTTGACTGTCTCCTCTCTCTCAGCCCGACTTCCTGTTTGTCATGGACACAGGCATCTGATGCTGCTTTATATTACAGCAAAAATTCAACCTTTGTGACTTTGTAGCATTTCTGTTTGTTATTTAACCTATTTATTATGTGAGTATTTCCAAAAATAATTTTATATGAAAACACATTTTTATTCTGACATTCTGTGGAAAATAGTTGTGCAAAAACTTCCTGCATCTGTAGATGTATTGATTAAATGAGATGAAATTTGAGTTAATGCCAAACCATAGTTTGCAGATTTGTGAAATTGCTCAATTTCGACATCCAAAATCCATCTTTATATTCTGACAAAATCAAAATGAATCATTTGGCCGTTTATTGATGACACAGATGTTGACAGCTGTGGCGGAACAGCTGATGGATTTTGGCAGTAATTAGTCAGTGCATATTTAATCAGCATAATTTGCACCAAAAAAGTGATTTGAAGTCTCTTTTTTGAAGCAGAAAATTCCTTTAAATGTCAGATTTCTTTAATTGCCACAGTAGCTGAGTGGACGTGTGCCACATTAAGGATAAGTACTCCAACTGTGGCTTGATGGACTTGACCTCTCGACCACACACAAACATTCAAATCCTCATTAAATGATTAACTGGCGATTTTCCTCTTCAATCGCCCACCTCTTCATTGATTGAAACAGCACCCTAAAGACCTCTCTTACCACATCATTTCCCTGTATATTGATTATACTTAACCCTTCAGGAAGGCTTGCTTCTTCTTTACTGCAGGATTAGGTATCACTGTGAACGTTAAACCCAGGAGACTAATTTAGGTGAGGCAAAATGCTCAGTAATGTAATTTTTTTTAAAAGGTGGATAAATTGAGTGGATAAAAGCAGTTAACAAATAGTTTAGTGTTTAAGTTAATTACTCATAAATCATAATTATAAAACAAATCAACATATTTCCCTGCAATTATGAATCTTACAAGCAAATTCATCCAAACAATTATGTGATGCAGGATTTTTATTTTAGCTATGTAATTAAAATTCAGTGTATTCATTTTAACTCATCAGTGAAAGCTGACTTTTAATTACACATATGTCCTATAATTTTAATTATATGGATTTGTGTAAATGTACACAAAACAACATATTTTTTAAACTGACTGGCAGTTCTAAGTGATGTTACACTGGACCTTTCAGCTTTATGACCAACAGGACAGAATAGCCCCAGTCCATGTAATGGTCCACTGCAAAGCCACATGCTGTCAAACACTCAGAGTCAAGTTACACAGACACACAAGCAAGAAAATAACCACAAACCAAAAACACTGACACTCTTCTCAGTAAAATCATACATTTACTTAAGTGTTTTCCTAAAAATGGACCAACTCTTGCTTAACCAGGGTTAGTTTTGTACTTCTATATATTTTAACAAGGCCTGTGAGAAATAGAACTGAGTTTGATGTTGTCTTATGGTTCCTTAGTTATAATGTTACAGTAGCAGTTCCCAGGGTAAGTGTCCAAAATGCTAACTGAAAGAAAGAAAGATACACAAATGAAAAAGGAGGGAGGCAGTAAGTAAAGGAGGGAGCGATCTGAAGGGAGGAGTCAAGAGAGGGAAGGAGCAACTGGAGTCCTACACTTCGTCCTCTCTTCTCCTCGAAAAAGCGCACAAAATGTAACTACTCTTCATGCTTTTCTCTTACGTTTGTGTTGTTTTTACGCACATCCGTGATCTGCTATCGGCAGATATTATCGGCAGCCTCATGGTGTTTGTCCGGCGGTGGTCGAACTCAGCAAACTGCGAGAAGGAGGAGAAAGACAGACAAGAGGAAAAACTCAGGCAGCGCCGCTTTGGAGTTGGAGTTGCAGCGTAAAAAAGGTCCCAGGCAACTCCAAAGGCACATCTGCAACTTAGGAAGAGAAGGAGAAGAAAGACGACAAAACATCTTTTTCTAAGAAGATTAAAAAGCCAAGAACTACAGGGGAAACCACCCAGAGAAAAGTAAGTACTTTATTAGAAATTCACACTGGCGGCATAGTCATCAGACCTTGTTGCGCTTATTTGTCTAGTTTTGAAATTTGGAAAGTCAGTCAGACTTTGGAAGCAGCGCAGGTTTCACATTTCAAAACGGTGGAATTCCATACGTCCAGATGTAGACATGAAGTGTATTAACTACATCAACACTCGTAGATTTCTTTAAACAAAGAAGAAAGCTTCGCATCTGGGATCCCAAAACAGTCGAAAAAGCACCACAGGCTGTGTTCCACTTGGACTGGGTGTGATTTATTCTCTGTGAAATAAGTGGAGGTTGTTAGAAGCCCCCGGTGGCACACTTAACAAGTATCCGACACACGTGTGCGTTTGCAAACTAGACTGTAGCTGCATAAAGTTTGGTATTAATGGAAAAAGTTGTTTTTGGAGCTTCAGTGTGTTATAAGTCAGAGAAAAGACGTGTATACTGTTGGGAGTTTTGAAATGAAACTTGGTGAGCTTCTTCAGACACGAAACTTTACTGGACCTATGCCTAAAGAAACGTGGGGGCGTGGGGTGGGGGCAGACATGCATATTTATGTGTGATCATATTTCAACATCTATTATTGATTCCGTTTATCCTCTTAGATTTAGGCAGACTCACTCAAAACGTTAGTGAGAGGATTCAGGGGTAAGCTCAGACACTTTCATATGTTTTAAATACAGCCAAGCCTGTGGCTGACCCTCGCTTTGACCTTTAACATTTAGACATATTTGATTTTTTACAGTTTTTATGCCACTTAAACATTTTTTCATGACTTTGAATTTTCCAACATCCAAACAACAGGCGAAAGTCAATTTGAGGCCTTTTTTTGACACACACACACACACACACACACGATTTTAACAAGAAATATTAGCACAGCAAAAAAATGTAACATTAAATAAAAAATGTTGCATTAGTGAAAAGGACATTTTGCCACTGAGGTGAAATAATTTTGTTTGTAGGACACTTCTTTTTATTTTTGTGCAGAATCAAGTCTTAGTGTTTCTACAAACCAGAGATGAAATTCAGATCTATAATGATCAGTTTTGTTTACATTTTTATTTGTTTGGAAAGTTTTTAAATTATCTGGCTCAAATAAGAATGAAACATTCTACATCAGTAGATCATAACGTGTTTAAAGGCATGTGCTCAGAGAAATTTAAGCCCATTACAGCGGGGTCTGTGGCCTGGCAGGGGGCCATGTGGGGAGTTTTAATGGGCCCCAAGCTAAAAGAAAAAAAAAGTATAAATCTGTAATAATTTATTTTATTAGAATTAACAGGAATTAGCATAATGGAGTAGATAAGAATGACTAATACAATTGCAGCTTTGTCCTTTTCCTAGAAATAGTCATTCATGTAAAAACAAAATTAACGTTAAAAACATCATGCAGAGTGAAAAAGTCTCTAACAGAGGTCTGTGTGTTCATTTTGGGGGTCCAGGACATGAAATGGTCTGAGAGCCCCCCCAGCCTCCACATGTGCAGATATTTGTTTGAAACTTTCCCTCCTGTTCTCGCCAGCTGCTCCACATTTTATCTGCTTGTCTGCTCTTGGGTTTCATACAGACGACGAGGGTCCGAGGTGCTCAGCCATGCGGTGCAGCTCAAATCTTTTCAGACACTTGACAAATTATTAACGGGGGACTGGCTGCCTTGAGATGGAGCAGTGGCTGAACACACCAAATAAGATGTTTAACAACACAAGTTCACACAGATAAAAATTTCTCCTTTAGCTATTTGCACGAGCCAGTTCCATCGTTCATCTTGGCTGTGGATTTGGGTTTGAGCAGTTTTATTTTTCAGGTCTTAGTTACAGTTTTTTATTAACATAAAAAAGGGGCTCATAAACTGTTATTTACTATTTTTCCTATTTTAATTATAACAACAATATTTCACAGACCTTGCAAATGGGAAATGACACACTGTCAAAAATCATGAACAAACTATTCAGGCAGATTTCAGTCCTACTATTTTACAACATGAGATTTATTTGTAATTATTTATAGAAACTAAATAAAGATGTCTGTACTTTCCCCTCTGTATTTAAAAATTTGCAGATAAATAAAAACACAATAAATGTACCTCTATATCATTATTATTGGAGGCCAAAATTGTGATTTTATTTTCAAAGTTCAGACATTATAATGATGTTAACCACCAGTTTTAAATTAAGTGTGAGCAAATTTTAGTGATAGTGAAATAGGTCACATTTTTTTGAGGGGTTTAATATTCCAGAGAATTAGTCTTTTCTGTTTTTACACATCAGTGGGATGTCAGATGTATATACAATAAACCATATAAAACAGCTTCACATCATGAAATCTTTCACTGTCATTAATAAATATATAAGAATAGTTCTGGTGAAAACTTAATATTGATGTTACTACTACTAATTGCCAAAGTGATACCGATTTCAAACAGGTGCGCCTTTACCAGGAAGAAAAGGACTCTGTCTTATTATGATGCAGCAGCAGTGATGAATGCAGCAGCGTTCAAGATGCTAATCTCCTGGAATGAGAAGCACAGCTCAGAGCCATTCGCTTGCTGTAGCCAGCAAAGATGTATCATTGCGGCTCTGCTTCCTCAGCTTCATGCGTGAGGAGCAGGCGGATAACAGTCCCCCTGCAGGAGTCGGCCCGTCAGATAGCAGCAGGGTGCTGTTTTATCTGCTTAACTTTAAGCACTCCTTTAAGGAAAATGATGCATAGCGATGCTGGCTCAAGACGCCTGTGACCCGGCGACCTGGCAGAATAAGGGCTATCATGTTAATGCATGGAGATGACGTGCTATTAGCTTTTGAGTTATGACCCTCTCTTTTTTCTTTTTTAAAGGCCCTGCATTCACAGCTAAAGGCAGGTTCTGTCCTCAGGCCTTTTACGCCCCGCAGGAAGAATACCTGCCATCAGGTCTGTATGCAAGAGGCACTAATGAGCTGTGTTGTTGGGCTGTTAACGCTGCAACCTGAAGCCATCAACGAGGTGGCCGATGTTTTGTTAGTAGGAGGGTAATGAAAAGGAAGTTGATTGTCCTTCAAATAAAAGGGACTGTAGTGTAATTTTACTGTTAGTTTTTTTGTTTTGCAGGTTTTGTTACTTGGGTGGGTTTTTTTTCCCCATTTTATGCTTTTTCTAAAATGTCTTGTTTCTTGGAATGTTAATTATTACAAATTTTAATTGTTTGTTGTAAAACACACTGAGTCCACAAGACTGGTGAAAGTTTGGAGTGATTCCCTGTGCGATATGATTAGCTGTTGCCTCCCTTGCATGTAACTGGTGCAGTTGAATAGATGCCCCCCAAAAGAAATCTCTCACTTTGATGATTTGGTACTTTGATATGTTGACATCAAATGATGCAGACACAGCGGGGAAAGAAAGAGGACAAGTCAGGCAGAGGTAGTGGTCGAGGGGGAAAAAGGCTGTGCATGAGAGCGGGTGGAAGTGTGTGTGTGTGTGTGTGCGAGGTGTGGAGGAGTGCTATGAAAAGTTGGGCTGAGATGGCAAACCTATGGAGCGTCAAAATGTCTGGATGCATTTGCGTGTGAGCAGAGACAAGAAGGGCTCTTCGGGTGCGTGAGGGCTTCTCCTTGGCCTCCTAATCCCCAGGCCCAGCCATCCCTTCAGGGCATGCCTCAGATCTGGCTCTCTGTGCGGACGACCCAGCTCTGCCAGCAGATTTAATATGCTATGTGTTCCTGCTCCCCCAGCTCCCCTCCACCTCAACCATCATTGTCCCAGAGTGGGACCGCCGCTCTCCGCTTCAAGGAGCCTGCTAAAGGCACCTTTCAAGCCGGGTGATGTCTTTGGATAAGGCACGCAGTGGGGGGAAAGAGGGTGTGAGACTCAAGATATCATACTGTAATTTTAGATATGTCTATTACTCACATTCAGGGATCTTAATACACTTGGGGCTCTTGCAAGCATGCATGCATGCGTGCTTGAATGTACAGGTCTGGTGCTCAGTTTTGCCTTCTCTAACTCATACACAAACATATGTTTAGTTTTTATTTTGTCTCGTTTTCTCCTCTTACTTCTCTCATGCGCTTATGGAAACAACTTTTTTCATTTGTATGAAGCAATGAGAAACAGGAGGAAGAAGTGGGAACTTGGCTTGCCTTAGCAGGGACTGAGAGAGGGCTGGTTTGTTTTCCATGGCTTTGGCCTGTTGGAAACTCCAACTGGACCTGACAATTAGTCTGGTCAGCTGGATGTCCAGAGTGAGGATCATAAAAAGGGAAACAATTTTAATCAAGTGATTTGAATTTACAATCAGTGAAGTTAACAATTTAATATAGACCCTGTTGTATGCTCAGGTAAATTTTTTTTTTTTTTGCCTATTTTTTAGTTTGGATGTGGAAATGCCGAGGGTGCTTTTTCTTTTCTCACATGCTTAAGGAGAAACGGGACAGGCCGTGCCTGCATGACACTGCTGCTCATCCCCTCTGTGGGGGGATGCTTTGGTTTGGAGCCCATTTGCTTGTGGGATGTGTGTAAGGTTGAGCGCCTGTGCTGTTATTGCAGATGTGGCACTACTGTCAGCTTTGATGAGAGCTGGTTGTGGCATCCATGAGGGGGTCTGTGCTTTCTCATTCAGGGTGATGACTGGGGGGACAGATGAACCGGCCGCTTGCTGTGAACAATGATCTGTCACTTACCCCTGCTCCTCAGTGTGTGAAGCCATGAGTCAGGCTCTGTCTACTCCAAGACACCAGTACAGTCGCACTTTGTTCCCTCCAAAGTTATTTGAGCATCAAAAAAAAACTACCATCTTTACTGTGAATTTTTGAAACAAACGTCCTGTTCTTGCACCAGTGATGAAGTTGTGTATTGTCATGCAGTAATGCTCACAATCTGCACCCCATTTGTTTGCAGTCTCATGCTGCCTGTATTATTTTTTTCTTTTTTGCTATTTTGCCGCATCCTGGAGTAGGGATCAAGGAGGAGGTCAGTTGGGTCAGTGTCAAATGTAAATCCCAAGGTTAATACC